ATCTTCCAAAATAATTTATGTGAGTATACATGGAAATAATTTCAGATTTTTTTGAACTAAAATTAATTATTTGATCTTGATAAGTTAATTGCTGAATTTATGTATATCATTGCAATTTATGAGCTCTTCATTACTAATTTTAAGAGTGACGAATTTTACAAACCTTATCCAATGACATTATAAAGTGATGTTTTTGTAAAGAAACCAAAACAACAATCTTGAAATTTCGATCTAAATAATTAAATTACGAATTTTTGAATTCTCCAAATGCTTTTTGAACGTTATCGGAAGTGCAACGTGCAATCACATATATGCAAATGTGCGTAAATTGTTGAAGAAGCTAAAATATTGAGAAAGTTGACAGTGTAAATGAGTTGGAAATTGTCTTAAAAACAATACATAACATCGCTTACTTAGGCCAAACATATTTAAAACATCATTCAAAAAATTCAACACCTATACAGCAAAATTTATACAATTTGTTAGGCTTGATTATTACAAATTATCCTGTAAGCTACCTTCAATCAGGTAACAATCAACAATATCCACTGTATTGTCGTTTTTTCATGATAATATCATCATTCCATTTTTATCTGATCTCAAATCTACGTCGTGATGTCAAGTTAATTATGTAAGATAATTCGCTATCACACTTCATCTTTCTATCCTAACATTAAAACCAAAAATAGTAGCTAATATTTCAAATGAATAATAAAAATTAAAGATTGAAAGAAAAGATGGAATTAAATTCAATAATCCGGAAAAAATTTTCAGTGACCATTTTAAAGGAGAATAATATACACATTCGCCAATGTAACACTTCATTAATGCATTGAAGAAAGTTACGTGCGAGAAAAGAGACCGGAATTTAAACAGTAACAAAAAAATCAAAAATCAGTTGTTATAATCGATCAAAACAGATCATTTTATGTACTTACAAATAAAGAAATAGAAATTTCTCCTTTTTTTTTCTTTTTTAATCTAATGGTTAAAAGGACATTTAATTGCTAATTTCATGTTTGGAAAATTAAAAAAAAAATAAATGCTTCAATTTGATTGACAAACTTTAACCTTTAAATTAAACTTTTGTATGGTGTGGACAAAATGTTTTTTTGATTAAAGTGATGGTAAAAAAAATTTTTACCATTACTCGTTAATTTTATTATTTCGCTCAAATGATTTTGTGCAAAGTTTATTTGTTTGGTTTCATTTAAACCTGAAATGTTTGTTTGAAGTACTTTTTATTGAAATTAGCGAAAATATAAATTAGAAGATATTACGCTCTACGTTAAATTTATTTTTTGTTAAAATAAAATTCGTATCAAGCAATAATTGCAGTTAATTTGAACCATTTTTCGTTTTTTGTTTATCTTTTAAAGCTAATTTAGAGGTAAACTTCATGATAGATTTCGAATAAATTCATTGCAAAATGTTAAAATCTGTCAAATAATTTTCAGAAATCTTTATAACTTTTATTTAGATTTTACTATAACATCTTAATGCCTTCCTCATTCTTTTCAATCTGTCCTAAATTCTTTTGTCTTCCTTCATATTAAAAAACTGTTTTATCTTTTATTAAGCTCAAAAGCACGCAGAATCTTCCAAAGTATTTCATATGGAAAACATACTCTTGGCGAGTGCTTATTCTAGTTCCATTCTCGTTAAACTTGAAAATCAGTCATTTTAAATTATAAACTGTTCAAATTGAAAATTTTATTTAAGACAAAATATGTAAATGCCCTAATTTTCTTCTCATTTATTACCTCCTGATAGTATTGGCTGATAGTATTGTTCGAAAATTTCACTTGAATTCTCTGCTGGATAAATTCTACTTCGTTATTATGAACTGTAAAAAGTTTCAAAATTTTTATATCAAACTTTATTTCTATACTACATTTAAATTACAAGTGTGTTACTATAATACATTAAAAGAACGGCAATGCAATTCATCGATTTATTCAATAAATTTTTCACTGCCATAATTACAAAACATTTTGTAGTGGCACTGAACGATTACTGATTAGTGTTTGAATATCAAAAGTATTTCATTTTTCTTCATGACTGTTTAGATTCACCCAGTAAAATATATAATATTTCGGTTTGACTTGATTAAAACTATTCCAATTTCATTTAAAACAATTTGATATAATATACTTGTATTACTCAAAAATATATTGGAATCAATTCAATTTAATTTAATGTTAAGTTGAATGAAAAAAAAGAGAACTTAATGAACAATTAATCTATATTGATAAGATACCCTTCGAGAACACGTACATGATAAAACAAAGCTCTTATAGAAATAACAACTGAGATCAGTAGTGATAAATTTGTGGAAGCAAAATTATGTGGAAAGAATGATTAACAAATAAACATAACTTATGAAATGATTTTCAAAAATACATATATATCATAAAAGTCTTTTCTGAAGATTTGAAATATCAAATAACTATAAGAAAGTAAATTGAAAAAAAAAGTATGATTAAATCGATTTATGTGACTAAACTGCTAATGATTATCCTATGAATTAAAAGTCTGACTATCCTTTTAAAAGAAGAAAAGTTTTGCCCAATGCCTCAAAATTTAGATCAGTTTTCTCAATTAATTTAATTTTTAAATTAAAAATTAATAAGAGAAGATTTTAAGGTTCTTTGAGAAAAAAATTGTCAGAAAAGAGATCAAATTTACAGAAGAAAGAAAAATGAAGTGATAAATTACAGTGGTGTCGCATTTGTCATATGGAGAGGTTCCATGCCACGGCTTTTCAAAAGCTGAAATATAATCATCACATGAATGCATTAGATATTAAATTTTATCATTCTATTTTTTTTTTTTGAAGGACTTCATAGAAAAGAAAAGAAATGACCGTTCGACTTTTGCAACCTTTTGGCTTAAAACTATGACGGAATGTAGAAATGATAATAAAAAAAAGAGTGGAAAAGTTAAATTCATTAAATCAGCTATATTTTTCCAATTCTCATCCATATTTCATATTCATCTAACCCTTATACATCTCTAAAATTAACTACCATAATTGTTGCTATGAATGCTTATTGATTATTTGCTTTGTTGCTGTTAAATTTTCTTATTTTTCTTGTATTTTATATACAATTTTATTTCATTTACTATTTTACTTTACAAAATATTTTATTTATTTCACTTACTGCATGCTTTCATTAATAAGCAATTGTCTGTAATAAATTATTGTCATTAAATTCTGAATTCCAATTCTAGTCCAATTCTAATTCCATTCTCCAATTCTAGTTCGAGAAAATAATAATTGGGAATCAATGGACAAATGTATTAACATCTATTGAAATTGCAACAAACCTGCTCAAATCTATAATCCTCATTGGACAATTGAGTGTGTGGTAGTGATGAGGTCATAGGTAATACTTGTTTTGAAACTGTATTCAGAACGGTTTGCAATGAACCCGCAATTAGACTACCGAGATTTTCATTTTCCTCCTCCTTTTCCATCAACAATAAATTTTTCACGGAGCCATGCGATTGTTTACTTTGTGAAGTCTGTAGCAAAAAAAAAAAATGATAAAATTTTTGATGACAAATTAACTAAAACAATGCAAAAAAATTTTGATAAATTTGATACCATTCGAAATTAAAAAAATGCCAATAAAGTGTACGCAAAATAAAATATTATTTGAATGTTTTTTTTTTCCAAAGTTGAAATTAAAAATTGAAATTAATCAAAGAGTCTTAGTTGCGAAATTTAACCTAAAATTCCGAAAATAGAGCTCACAGATAATTGTGATAAATTTTCATAGATTAACATTGTAAAAAAAAAAAACAATTATTCTCTACTTGATAACGTCGACAGGAATCAATAAGTTGTTGTACTTCATCACTTACTTCCAGTCGTTTGATACCATCATGAGTGGTACCAGCACCGGTAGTACCAAGACCACGACTAATAATGGAAAATGTTCGGACAAACTTAGAGGTCATTTTATTGGATTCAGTTTGTGTCGATGCATCCTGCGATGGACTTTGACTAATACGAACTGATGGTTTACGTTTCCGACAACCATATCGTATCTGTGATCCAACTTCCCTTCTAAAGCTTTTTTTTTTTTTTTTTAAAGCACATTTTAAGTTGATATGGTTAATAGATATCGTACAAACAAAAATCTTGCATAAATTATTAATTATCAATGAAATTGAATGAATTATTATAAAGTTATCAGAAAATAACAAGTTTCATTTACTTCTTTTCGAATACAATAAATTATATAAAGTAATATGATTACAAAAAGAATAAATCGAACAAACAGAAAAATAAATACCTGGAAAAAGAATGCTGACTGGAACCGGATTTCCAATCATTTGTCTCTCTACTAATTCGTTCCGTTGTTTGTGAATTACCAAAATGGCAGCGTATCAGTTTGGTAGTTGTATAACTTGCTCGAACATTCTTTTCCGGATGCAATAGGATTATATAAAGTTTTGGAAAAAATAATAATACCAAAGCTATGCTAGCTGAGAGGCTAAATGAAAAACTCATTGTGAGTGCTTTATTTGTTGTACCCAAATGAAGAACAATAAATGCTGACCAAACAACCAACGTACAGTACCTAAAAAAATAAATTTATCAAAAATTATTACAAATAACTTGAACAGTAATAGATCAAAATTTTGTTTAATATTATCAATTAGTAATAATTTTTTTTTTTAAAAAAAAAAGTAAAAAATAAATTAATAGGGTATGAAAGTATTACACTGATTTAAATATTTTAAAATGCTAAATGGAGCAAGAAATGATTTTAGCATTTTAGCAATTGTAATCATACTAGGGCCAGTCAATATTAATCAATAATCAAATGACTAGATGGTCTATTTAACGATTGATAATTGATAAAATATTAAAGTATTATATTAACTTAAATAGTATTGTTTTGATGATTTAAAGTATTGCATTCAGAAAATATATTAACGATATTTTGCTTATTTTGTTTTGTTTTTTTTTTCTTCTTTTACAAATTAACTTACATAGTAAAACCGATAAATTTTGCTTCATTAAAATTTTCTGGTAGATTTCTTGTTTTAACCGCATACAATGTACAAAGTGATATCAGGAAAAGATTCCAGAAAAATGGTGTTAAAAAGGCAAGTGTTGTAGTTGAGCAGACGAGTACCATACGTCGAGGTTGATAATACGGATCAAAACCAGCCTGTGGCATTTCACCCATTACACTTGCAGCAACAATAACACATTCGATGCATACAATAATCCATGTTATTATTACCTGAAACAATGAATATTATCTCTTCTATCTCAATTATTATCAGTTGAATATCTTAAATTTTTACCTAAATTCATATTATCGTTTTAAATTTATGTTATAAATTTAAATTTTTGGAAATTTTTTTCTTTTTTTTTTTGTAAGCCCTTCATTATTCTCCTCATCTCTTTCCAATGAATTTAAATTCATTATTATAAAATTTTGGAACTATTGCTGAAATGACAATCGCATACTTGTGATGCAGTACTTAGGAAGCGTGGTTTTTTCGTTAAAATTCGTTTTTTACTACCAGCTAAAATACGTGCAATACGATTTGTCTTAGTGAGAAGTGCAGAATAAATCATTGAAAAAGCAACAGGAGGTAGTGTACGTGATATAAAACAGGTGATAAATGATGGTGTTGCAAGTACAGCAAATGATACCGCATAGCAAATAGTAATACCTAAAAATATATGGCAAATAGTAATATCTGGAAATTTATAGTAATACCTAAACAATAGAACTAATAAATAGTAAGCAAGATTTTAGACAAGCGAAAAATTTAATTTCACTAACTGAAATAGATAACGTTTTCAAATGAATAATTGGATAGCAAAAGAAAAAAAAAAGATTCGAGTTTGAGAATAATAATAATGAGTATGCTGAAGATAGAAAACTTACTTACACTATAATATTGAAAATTAATTAAATTCACAATAAAAAATATTACAAGTTTATTAAATACTAACCACTTAGAATTATATAGGACAATTCTCTGGTGGTTGATTTAACAACAGGAGTATGATTATAACGAATGAATACTAATATAGTAAATAATGTCATCAATGTCCCCAAGGATGCAAGTAACAAAGCTAAGATGATACCCGTTGATGACCAATCTGGCCCTTCATGTACCAAAGGATAGCAAGCTGAAAATTTGAAACAACTACACATATAATATATTTCAACTTTTTTAAGAGAATTTTTATAGCTTGTACTTCTTACTTCAATAATACACGTTTTTTTGCAAAATTTTAAATAATAAATGAAATAAAATAAAAGCAATTGCAAATTTGAAAAAAAATGCAAGGGAGAATTGTGCTTACCTGTATGATCGTCATTGGGCCACCAGCCAAGTGTACAATTTTGGCATGAACGTAATGTATAATTCATTATTTGATGTGCCAAGCAATCTTCACAAATCCAACAACAAGCTGCTGTTTCTCTTTGCTGTAAATGGCAGAAAAATCACTAAATTGAATTGAAAAATTTTTATAGTTATTTGCAATTCTTGAAATAATCAATGATTACTGTATTCCAGAAATGCTCAATTTATCATTTTTATCTTGCACAAATAATTTCACATGTGGAAAAATTCTCTCTTACATTACAGACTAATTTTTAGAATTTAATTATCTTGAAATTACACAATTGAGCTTACTCGTTGTCCAATTTTACAAGGTTTACTGCAAACTGATTCAGGAATTTGATTTGTTTTATCGTAGAACATAATATCATTCTCTATAATTTTCAGTCGATATTTGCCAAGGCGTTTTTTCCGATATTCACCAACCATACGAAAGCCTTCCCTACCACCAACGTAATTCAAAACATCATACCTTAGAAAAGAGTTCTATTTCATTTATCTTTTTTTTTCTTCAAAAATACTCTATTTTAATAACTGTCGACTAATTAAATTCTTTTTTTCCTAATCGTATTGATTAGATCAAAAATATATCGCAAAAAAAGAATTATTTCAAGAAAATAATCATATCGATAACCACTAATAAGATAAACGATATAATTTCAGTGTGCTATAAATTAAATTTGTAATTGTAAAAATAATAAACATACCATGCAGGTGGATCACCGTTTGCATCAAAATAAACTTCCTGATTGAACTGATCAACAAATGTAACATTGAGCATATATTTGAGTAGTAAAGTACCATTTAATGCAAATATTTCAGTGCATATTGTTGAATTCTCTCTGCAACGATCGTTGTACAATGCCTGAAGGGCTAATCCAACGACACGAATCGAATTTACAACCTGACTCAATTTTGCATCCTAAAAATTAATTACATTTTAAAGTATACATGCAAAAATTTTTACATTGCTGGTAATATATCAATTTTGTTCCGAATTCTTTTTGATTTATTACCGGAAAATGAAAAATTTGAGAAAGGAATGGTGAAATGATCATTTATAAAGATGGGATTAATATTTCAAATTACTATAACGATAGGACTAATTTATCAGTTATTATTTACAGTGATAGGATTAATTTATCAATTATTAGCGTACTGGCATTAATAATAAACTTTAATTTGATCAACTAATTATATCTTGCACAAATAAACTTATAAAAGAAAAAAAAAGAAAAGGAAAAGCTTAATTTTCATTTCGTATACGTTTACCTGTTTGTAGTTTAATGTAACATTCTCTCGTCCAGTACAAACTTTTGTTTCGAGATCATCTTTAGGTACCATAAATTGACAATGAAATTTCTCTTGCCAAAATTCTCGAAACCATGGATTGTGTGTATTATTTTCTGGGTTCAATGAGAAATAATACTGATCGAACCATTTTACATGTGGTGAATGTATCCTAAAATGGTGAAATGATTTTAGCATAAGGTGAAATAGCATTTTAACGTGTGAAAGATTAAAAGTTACGTAGAAAAAGGAAATCTTTTACATTCATTATTTTATGGATAATAATAAAATTGCTCGTGAAAGATGTAATTTATTTCATTTGTTACCTAATAGAGAAACTTCCGGTAGCTTCATGTTCCACGCCATCAACGACGTCTAAACGATCATTCCAACCATCACTACAAATCCATTGAAATGGTCGTATTCCCGGATTTCTTCTTCGACGACGTTGTTGTGCTTTAAACATTTCATGCATCGTAAGGCCTTCACAAAAACATACCACTACTTGTGGTACCGACTTTTGACTACTGTAAAATAGTATCGTAATATTATGTAGTACTGAAGATAATGCTGAATTCTGATTTTAACACAGTTTACGGTATTAGGGATATTTCATTTCATTTATTTGATAATTTATGATTTAATCAATATGAAAATTATTACAACAGTTTTTTCTATTTCCTACCTTAAAGTATTTAAAATTTTGTCAAATTCAGCTGGTTCAGCTAAGCTTTTCACTTTTTCCGAATACGCGATACAAACATTTTCTGATAGGTCGTTATTGATCATTCGTTCCAACTCTTCGAATCCTTTCTCACCATAGTTTCCTGTGATAAACAATTTTCATAACTTTATTCTTATAGCTTAAACTTAATTATAAGTGATTCCGGGAAATTCTAAGAAATTACAAATTTAGCATCTATGAATTTCAGTGAGTTTTAATAAATTAGAATAGAATCTTATATTATCAATTATGCAGTATTTTTTATCCAACGAGCGATGGCGCATATAAATGATATGATCATTATAACTTCTATCAAATAATGACCAAATATAAACAAAAATGATTAATTAATAATTTAATTTAGCCTTTAAATATAAATGTACTGTATGAAAAACTAACCAGCAGAATAAATAACGGCAACATAAGTCCAGTTAAAGTGTTCCAACATAGCAATAACCAGTTTAGCTTGCCATGTATCCGCTGGTACCACACGCATAAAATAACCATATTGTTCTTTATCAGAAAGATCAGCTGTTGTGGCACCGTATCCTAAATATTCAAAAATGTAGTGGAAAGAAAATTCTTCTGATAAAAGGATAATAATTTTCAAAAAGAAAAATAGTTTATTAAAAATTTTTTTAAATTTCAAAATTTTAGAAAATTAAATTTAGACAAGAAAATCTTATGCTGAAACATACCAATTTGAGGTATATGAAATACTTGTAGTAAGTTTTGTACTGCAATTGTAGTGGAACTCTTTGCAGGCCCTACAATTGCCACAACTGGTGCTGTCTTTTTCTGGCAACCTGGCGTTGTTGCACACGAACATTGACTAACGCCTTCACGTAGAAATGCAATGGATTGCTCCATGGCAATACGATCTGTCCAACATGAATCTCTAAAGATTAGAATTATCGGGAGGAATTCTATGATTTTTTTAGTTTTGCTTAATTAAAAAACGATTTAAAATAAAATTGCGTCTCTTTGACTGATTTGAATTAAGTTTCATTTGAATTAATTGAAATAAAATTACACAAATTATCTAATCATAAATACAAGAATAAAATAAAAAGTTGATATGTTTGTTGAAGCTTCAAAATAAGCTCAAAATATTCGATATCGTTATGTTCGCTTCTTAGATTCGTGCAGATCAGGTCATTGCTAGCCTGATTAAATGACCGGAATTTCAAAATAATCATAAGATAGTAAAAAAAATTCAAAAGTGTTCGGCTTAAGAGAGCTTTTTGCTTATTTTGATGAACAACAAAGTGATACAATTTGTGCAGAAAAAGTTTCTTACTGATCCCACAACTTTTTTTAAATTTTTGATCAAGAAAGAAGCTTTTTTGAAATGTGATAAAAAATTTTCAAAACTTCACTTGAAAATTGATGATATCAATTACATAATATTAATTAGCAATCGGTTATTTAAATGATTTAAAATTTAATTGGAAAAATGAATGATCCGATCTCTTCTGCATATCTTTCAAAGATGATGGTGGAGAAATGAATAAAGCTCATTTCATTCATATTATCTCATCTATCTGACCAATCAACAATAATGGGCTTAACTTGCTGACAAAAAAATAGCCTAGTCTGAATCCTTCCAAAAAATTAAAACTTTAAAGTGTTATTAGTCGTCATATCAGATACTTTGCTAATTTCTGGTATTTTTTAATTGCAAATTCAAAATAAAAAAAAATTTTTTAATTAATATTTAAATAATAATTTCCTTCAAATTTGTGCCTATTACATTCTGAAAATGAGAAAAATTTATTTGAGAAATTATTTAAATGTTAATTGAAAGGTTTTTAACCTACCTGATACTGATGCCAAGCTTAAAAGGTAGAAAAGCATTTAATTCAGCTATCGTAGCAAGCGCAATTTCCATGCGTTGAATACCGTACTGTTCCCAAATTCGACCGCATGCTTCAGTACCTGTGATTTGGTGGTGCAACGGGAATAGCGCACCAATCTATGAATTTTAAAGAATGTAAAATTATAAATTCATTTTATAATGCTATTGTTTTCCTTAATTGTTTATTCATTCCTCTGTCTGATAGCATATCTGCTTGTTTACTTTTTTTTGCTAATTAATGTCATTCTTTTAATTATTTGCCAAGTTACTTTAAGCCATGTCAAGTTGTCACTCACTGCTTTCATTACATTGTAAAGGAAGAAAGTGGAAGAAATAGCACTTACGGAAAAAATTATATGTGATAAAATTTGTAAACAAGTTAAACATTTAACAATTTACTGAATGATTGAAACAAACAAATGCCTAAGTAATGAGGAATTTAAAGTTGGAAATTTATTACCGTATCATTTTTATCACCCAAAAATATGCTACACTGAACGATTTGTGCTATACCGGGTGAAAAAAAAAATTGATTACGCTATTTCTTGACTTATCAGGTATGAGATTCTGATTTTATTCGCTCATTTATCAACTTCTGTTTTTAGAATTTTAACTTCATGATTCATGAATCTCGACAATTTTTTTTTTCTCAAATTTTTTTGCTTCATGAATCTCGACAATTTTTTTCTTAAATGTTCTTCAAATTTTTTTCCATCAAAATTTTAAAAATTAGATTTTCATATCCATCAAATCAATCTGTGTTTGTTAGAAATGTTTATTCTTGAAGAGGAAGTACTCCTCATTAAGTGGGTGTCTTTCGATAAGTTTGTATATGCATGTGCACGCGTGTGTGTGTGTGTGTGTCTGTTTGGATGTGTACCTCACATGTATGTATGTATGTGCACACGCTACGATAATAAACTAAATAAAATTGGCCATTAGCGCTGGAATGCGTCTTTGTAAGTACTTTGCTTGAAAGCGTGAATTAAATTTGGGACAGATATCCTTTGTATTCATGCAGAAACACACACATACACATACATACACACACACACACACA